TTGGGACGTTTCCTGTCATGTTTGTGTCAACGAAACCAGATACTTTTTTTTTGTTTTTGTGGGGTTTTTTTTAGATATTTTTTTGTGCATTTTTAAGCCTTTAATCAATAGGACAGATGGACGTGAAGGGGGGAGAGAGAGGGAGTGACATGCAGCAAAGGGCCACAGGTTGGAGTCGAACCCGGGCCGCTGCGGCAACAGTCTTGTACATGGGGCGCCTGCTCTACCACTAAGCCACCGACACCCCGAAACCAGAAACTTTTAACAAGAAAAAACCTTCCCAGTCGTGTTTGTAGCGACCAAACCGTTTTGTTTTTTTTTCACAAGACACTGGGACAATACCAGCCGTGTTTGTAGTGACAAAACCAGGTATTATTCAACGAGATGTTGGGACATTTCCTGCCATGTTGGTGTCAATGAAACAAGATATCTATCAGAATGGTGTACCAGGTCTATAAATGAAGGTAAAAGTAGAGCAGTTCCTTCTGTCAGGTAGGAAATATACATCAGAATGTGCTACTACATCTATAAATGTGGTTCAAAGTATGGGCGTGTCCTCTGTATCTTTTTTTTTTTTCCCCACCTCTTAAATGCACTGCGAATGCACAGTTTGTATTGGACGGAGATTCTGAGGAATGGCTCTATTTTTCAGAACACTGACTGCGTTCGTGGCGACAAAAGTGAATTTTTTTTTTTTTTAACTAAATGTTGGAACACTTCAAGCTGTGTTTTGTGTAGGGACCAAACTGGATATTTTTTATGAGACATCTGGAAATTTCCAGCTGTGTTTATAGTGACAAAACTAGATATTTTTCTAACAAGATGTCAGGACATTTCCAGCCATGTTTGTAGCGACAGACGCTGGTATTTTCCAAGACGATAGTAGATTTCCAGCTGTATTTTTGGGCTGTGTTTATGGTGATCATGCAAGTATTCAAAGCCAAAACATGACATTTTCCTAATCTTAGCAAAGTGGTTTTTGGACCTAAACCTGGGCATAACCTAGGCGAGACAGCTGCCAAGCGGCAGACCACTGTTTGAGACCAGTGAGTTTTCCATCTGCCTTTGTGGCAACAAACACAGGTATTTCTAACATGACGTCAGCTGTGTTTGTAGCAACCAAACTGGGTATGTTAAGCCAAAATATGTTTTTTCCAAACCCTAACCAAGTTGTTTTGGTGCCTATACCTAACCACACACATTGTCACAACATAAAATGGAAAATTGAACAAAAAGTTTACACGTATCTGCGATAAATGTAACATGTCCTCGGTTTGCAGAAACACACCGTGCCAACATTTGTTCTGGCGATTGGCTTGAATAATGTCTGTATTCCTGTAAATACGTCCACGGTGGAACTAAAACTGGCCCCCTGAGTTTTGAAATATGAGTTTATTTATTCCAGTAAAAAAGAAGGTTGTTTAGAGCATGGTTAAGTGTTCAACATGTTAAACCTGAATCACACAGGTTTAACTGAAACCTTTTTGTGTGCCGAGGCCCCGACTCCCCACCACCAGACATTCATTTGTGGAGTTATGACCCTGGGGAGAGAGGGGCCCTGACCTTCAAAGCTGACCAGAGAAGCTACAAAAACCCACCTCAAAGGACCCATTGCACTCCCTCCAAGTCATAAAGCAAAACAGAACAGCAAAAGTTAAATATCTCCCCCCAGCCCGAGACCCCTTAACCCTTTGTTCCTGTCCGCCTCTCCACTGACAGATGAAACTCAACATCCATGGAAAATTGCGCGTGGAAAGAATCCAGATTCAAAGAATTCCCAGTGTACGTGTGTGTGTGTATGTGTGAGGTGGGGTGAGGTTCTTTCAGGGTTGCACACTGCATACACTGCACGATATATTTCATCTAGGCAGGTACCCCTCAGTCAACTGTCAGCTCTACATAAATACTGTATGTTTATGTGTTAAATGTGTTCCAGATGAGCAGCGAAGTAAGGTCACTGTAAAACCCCCTGCAGTCAAACCAGCAACATATGTTCCAATGTGATGTCTACTCATGACCCAATGTATACAGCATATCCACCGTCTATAATCACTTCAATAAAGAAGAATCTTTTATGTTTTATTGGGAAAATATCTGGGAGCCAGGAGGTCAAACTATCGATTCATTTACAAGGAAAAAAGCAGGATTCGCCAAAAGTCTGAAAACATGAATATAACTTTGTGTTGCATAATTTCTTTGAGCTTTCTTATCCTTAATTGTGCTGTGTACAGCTGAAACTGTCAATCGTCAGTTTCCCAAAAGCCAAGGTAATGTTGTCCTCAAATTTTGTTTGACCACCAGTCCAAAAACCTAAAGATATTTACGGTAATTTAAACAGACATGACAAAGGGAAAAGCAGCAAGCTTTAATATGCAGGTAGGGGAGACCGAGGTTGGTTGGCACACATCTGTTTTCTGGTCCTTTGAAGGTCACGGACACAAAGTTGGAACAGCAAAATGTTTGCTTTCTTCACTTCCACGCATGCCACATTAAGACATATAAGTGTCCAAAACTTTTCAGAGACATTTCAGATTTAAAGCATCGAAAATAAAGAAAATGGTCCTCAAACTACATGTGATAAAACTGTGCTAGAGTGAAATATTGGAAATGTGTCAATTTTGGTTAATAGACAAAAGACTCAGCGACATTTTGATGAGAGTTGAATGTCTGTGATGAGTGAGAGTAGCTTAAGCTAACTTAATTTCATCACAAAGTTGTGTCAAATGTAAGCAGAGTTGGTTGGCACACTGATTTTGGATTTACAGTTGTAAATGTAACTTTATTTCGAGAGATTAATACTGTTTTGCATGATTAAAAACAATGTTTTTCAAGTTTTTATTAATAATTTGAATGATCAATGGCAAAAGCAATTACATAGTCCTACTGATGATTTGCGTAAAAATGTTGCTTGGTTTAAGAATGGGCTCATATTTTTTTTTTATGTTCATGTTTTCTGGTTCTTGTTAAAATTAAATGTTCAAATTTTCTCTACTAATTCAGTTTTTGTCATTTTAGTATTTTAACAACATGCCAACCAATCCCATCTGTTTGATGGGCTGGTTGGCACAAACGTGACTTTAATTGCACATCACCTAATTTTAGAAAATATTTGTGTACATGAAAACATATTTATTTAAAGCTGAGACCTGAGCTTTTCATTTGCTGCTGGTTAGAATAGTCAAACATAAATCATGCCAGAGAAATACAGTAGAGAGTAAGAACCAACCTTGCGGTCTAAATGATCTCCAGTAAAAGCACCAAGGAACCTGTTGACTTGCTCCTGCTTTATGTTACTCTGTTGATCAACAGCACATCTCATGTATGGACATAATGTGACAAGGACACAATGGGAAGCGAGCATGTGAACTGGCTGCAGAAGATCTCTAACTGCGGCGCAACACAAACATAGTGTACTGAAAACTGGAAGGACATGATCTATTTCGCTGCCACGGTGCAGACCTGAAGAAAAACAGAGATCCTTTTTGACCCGTAACAAAAGCTTTCATTCCAGTCATCCTTACTACAACCACTAATTTCAAACAGTTAAATTTATAGCTGTAAATCAAATTTGCTTCAAAGTCATTATTCGTAAGTGCTGTGTCCTGGTAACATTACCCACTTTAAGAGCCCTGTTGTGTTGTGTCTACACTGATTTATGTCCCAGTTGTGACTTTGCTGCCATGCTGGGGGTAACAGCTTTATATCCCAGAGTTGACTGTGCATAATGGCGCTGTGAAAGCTGGAGACGCAGGGAACCCAAAGCATTTGACGAGATGTGGCTCCACATACAGACAGGTTGTGTCAGCGTTATTATCTGGTTTCCTGAGTCATCTGTGTCTGAGGCATTGCCCCCTCCCCCCCCGTTGTGCCTTCATTGCGTCGTGACTCGTATCTGCAGCCTCTGAGGGGATTTAACTTCAGTTTTAGATGGTGTGTACTGCAAGACTGACAAAAACCTTTTCCTGGGAAAACTTACAAATAACATACTTTTTTTGCACATTTGGCAACATGGTGATTTTCATGGCGTTTAGTGTACGTTTTCAGCACATGCTGAAGGATCATGGGAGCAATAATGCAGCATTAAGTCACCACAGAGAGTATTTCAGTGCGTAGCCTACGTGCGCTATCCAGGGGAATTCTGTACACAGTTAAATGCCTTCACTCCTAACACTGTTTTTCTGCTCTGGGATTGGTGTGCTAAGCCCTGAAAACATTTGTGTTTAGACCCTTACAGGTGGATATATCACTCAGCATAATAGGATCAAGCGTGATTATCCTCATTTAATTGTGAGAGGTCAAAGGCTTAGGAAGGGGCTGTGGAGAACAAAGCACGGCTTTTTCACTGCAGCAGTAACCCAGGATCTATAATCACTATCAGTACAGTCTTAAAAGTGCCTGGCCACTGAGGAGACGGATGATATTTCATCCTGATTACAGAGTCAAAATGTGTTTGCAATCAAGTCTGATTTTAGAGGAAAAACTTAACTGCATTTACTGTGTCAGAATGACTGCTGACTCAAAAAAGAAAAAACAAGTTGAGAAAATGATGTAAAATAAAAAAGCTCAGCCAAAATTACAATGCTCTTTAAAAAAAAAGTAAGATTTTTCTTGCTGTTCAGTTTTTTTTAACAATGCAATAATTACTGTTTTTACATACATCCTGTGCTCGGAGCTTTTGGGGAGATCTTATCATTTTTGAAGTGACTCCATATTTTCTGCTTCTACACACCAATTTCAGTGGCTGCACTTCAGAAAGGAGATTTCTGGAAGAATCCATGCGAGGCCCGTTGTGCTTTATTGTGCAGGAAATTGAACATTCATCCTTTTGTCTTCTTACTATACGAGACCAAATTACTGTAAAATCTATGCACAGCATGATGTTATTGCAAAAAGGGAATAAAAGGACAGCACACCAGCTCCCCCACCTTCCATGCAAACCCCCAGTGATGCAACTTGCACAATACACCAAGTGTTTAGTTTGTAATAAAACAGGCCTGCAATAAAGGAGTAGATCAAAGCATTTTATTGTATGAAAAATATATTCATAAAACGGAACAATATTTACAAAACAGTTGCGCCATGCAGGGCAGAGAGCAGCACAGTCACCGTGATCTCCAGTACGAAAAACATCAGTGTCGGTTTTCTGGATTCAGCCCGTTTAAAAACCGAACTTCACTATGTACTGACGAGCACAGTGATGCGCACATCTCTGCGTCCTGGCCGGTTCATTAAAGACACATTTACACAAGGAGAAGAAATCAAAACAAAACTTTTGACACAAAAAATACTTTTGTTCACAAACAGACATACAAGGTTCAGACAAACTAACCTGTTTGTGGTGGATCCTAACAGGATGTCTATGTCCAACATGACATGAAGGAGCCTACTGTAGTGCAGCCTACAATGTTTAATAAATTCATTTGATCTAACCATATCAAAAATAAATACACTTAAAACCATTATTGACGGAGAAAATCTATCTAGTTGGAGTTATAATACTGAAAAATCTGCAGCATGTTTTCTGTTTTCGTCATAGCAGCTCTACAAAGATGAGAAATAATCTACACATTAATAACTAGATCACTGGGTTTGTCCAGCGTTTCTCTTCTGTATTGATCCAGCCAGTCTCTGAGCTCTGTGATCCGATACCCCTCGGGTCCTCTGCCACCCTGGTATACTATTTTTCCCTCCTGCAGTATATAAAGTCTGTCGAAATAAGCTCCGTAGGCAGCGTTGGAGGAGTTTTCCATGCTGTCGACCACCACCGGGCAGCCGGGCACCTCCAGGTGCATCAGCTGCGCAGCGTTCAGCCGGTCCTCCAGACACCGGTGTTTGGGGATCTGATAGGGCGCGTCAGTGCTCACCCAGCCGTCGGAGGGGTGCGCTTCCTCGATGTAGACAACCACAGAGTCTGCTATATCTGCGTTCTGCTGCACGACTCCCTGGAAAGCCTTCAGACGCGCCATGAACGGTGGTCAGGTGCAGCTGCCAAAGTTGAGGATGAGCGGTCTCTTGTCTTTTGCGTAATCTAGGATGCGGCTGCGCCGCTGATCCTCCAGCTGAACAACTTCGGTGTTGGGCGCTCCGTGTCCGAGATGCGCTGCCTTCAGGAAGTCCAGTTTATGACCGTGCCACACTGCCTTGAGGGACTCCACACTGAAGAGACGGTTGGAGTCCGATATGCAGAGCGGAGGATCGATGGCATCACCCTCCTGCTCCTTCATCCTGAAGAAAACCCTTTTCCTTATGCATAAAAAGTCAAGCAGCCAAAACATGACTGCTGCCATCAGAAAACGGGGCAGCAACACGAGACAGACTATTGCATTTTTAATGGCTTTAATAGTATTCATTATCACTTAGAATAACTACCCGAGTGGTGTTGTGCTGTGCCACGATCTTGTGGGTTGAAGTTGGGTTACTTGCAACTTCCCCTCTTTTTATAGCACCGGCAGATTTGAATGAATCACACCCCGCCTCCAAACTGGGGCCGAGGCCTCACATGGTGGGGATTACCTTCTGTCAACTCCACAGCTTTGAGTCACAGCCAAAAGCCAAGGGTGCAGGAAAGGGTGCGGCACAGCAGTGCGTTATTTGGGGACAGTCGGTCACATTATTTTATCATCAGACTGTTAAATTAACCTTTTCTTTCAGACGCTCATGACGTCCTCACAGAAACAGTGTCAGTGTCCTCGCATATTATTAGAGATAAGAGCCCAAAGTTGGTGCTGCTGCAAACTTTTCTACGGCAATTACTGTTCACTGGGGCACATGTTGGCAGATGCTGACTACTTACTCCATATAAAGGACAGGCCTGTATAAATAGCCCGCTACACTGCCCTCAACTGAACTAGTCCCCTACACATATGAACAGTCAACTGTTTGTCTGGATGCAAAGTCACATCAGTCCATACAGACACATGGTGGCTCACATGAGAGACATCAGTCACTGAGAAGTTTTATTAAAGTCACATGAGGTTCAAACACTCACATGTTTAATCTCTTTGGATGATTTACTGCATTTTAAATCGCATATATGTGCTTCATAGTGAATATGATGAATAAATATGTGATCAGTAGTAAGGAGAGGATATATGGAGCATCATTAATGCCATGTGAAAAAAAGTTACATTCTAAGAAAATAAGAGAAAAAAATATTTCCAATAAAAAAGTCACAATATTGAGGAAAATTCGTATATCTGAATTTAAAATCACAGTTTGATCATGAGAAAATTGGAATTTCGTGAAACGTACATGTTTTTTGTGACACTTTTTGCTCTCAAATGTCAAAATAAACACAAACAGCACTAACTATTTTTGCTCATGTGGCCCTAATCGTTTTCCTCAGGTGATCCCAGTCAACTAAAGTAACAAAAACAGACACACACAGACACATGAAGCTTCCTGTCTGTCAGAGTGAAGGTGTTTGCAGAGCTGCCGTATTTAATCAACACCCCTTCTCCTCAGGATACTTTTCTACGAACTTAGCAGAGCGTCCAAAAACACAAAAGTCGTACCTGCATCACCTGACATTTTGTAAGTTTATACGTCCTATGACCATCACCTTGTCATACATTTAATTATTAGTTGTTGAATCAGTTAAACTCTTCAGACTAACACTGATCAGCCTTATTGGGCGTATAGTCGGCTTCACTCCAGATCATCTAACTAACTGCAGAGGAGATTTTGGCATTTTAAGACCCTAGACAGACAGAAGGACACCACCATGCACAAAACTTCTTCAAACACAAAACAAGTTACGGAGGAAGAAATCTCAGTACATCAGGGAGCTCAAACTGCTCCCTCATCAGACCCCAGTTGAGACAGGATCTGTGATGAGGTCTGGAGCACACTGTCACAGTTAGAGCTTCTCAGTTTGCGCTACCTTATTGAGTTATCACAGGGAAATTCACAGCGAGCAGATGGCTGCTCTCTCATTTGTCAAGAGAAAGAAGAAAAGTACACACAAATGACTAGATTAGGCAGACACGGTGAAGATTACCGATGAATGCAGTAATATCACACCTGTTGTACACCTGCTGAACACACAGTCTTCGTCAGTAATGGCCAGGTCCAATGAATTCAGTTATCAATGTCTGTTTTTGGCCAGTCAATCAAATGTAATACCTGATTAATCAAAGTGCTATATTGCATTAAACCTGGGGTGCAGAACTCCCCCCGCGGGCAGTGATAGTAACTACACAAATAATCATGGGTGCAGATCAGATGACAAGTTTGGGGGGGACACAATCAGTTGTGATTTTTTTTTTAATTGCACGCGTGTGTGTTTTATATCTGGAGCATCCACTCTAAAAACTCTTATCGGACACCTCTTAAGATTTTCTGCTATTGCTTCTGCCGTACTAGTTGAAATCATTACTTTATTTGACACTATGTATTTGTCATTTAATTCCCAGAACAGGTTAACTTAACTGGTTGGTATGGTATAGTATAAACCAAAAGTACAAACTTATTGGCTTATAAAGAATAGTTACAGTGTGAAACCTTACATGAAGTATAATCTAAACAAAAGACAAAGATCCCTGTGTGCACAGTTGCACTTAGGAACGTTACCATGAGCTTTAGAGACTGGAGGTTTAACGCCACCCCAAAGGAGGACTGAATTTGTTTGTTGTGTAGTTAACCTGAAGTTGAGAATGAGGTTCACTTCTTGTTTTACTGTCCTGTATATTAGACATGAGGAAAATACTTTTCAGTAAAACGACCCCTATGTTGATTTCTTTTGGTTGGATGATTAAGAAAAATTTGAGTTTTGTTTCAGAGAGGGAACATTTTTTGGACTGAATTTCTTTGCCACGCCTGGGATAGAAGGCAGAGTATTCTGTTTCTGGACTGAGTAGATAAATAACATTTACTTTGGATTGTCACGGCAACATCATTGTAATGGTGTCGCTTAAATCCATGAGGGTTGGGCACATGTAAGTGTGCATGACACAAAACATAAAAATCAATCCATCAATCAACTAGCTGCTACCTCATTATGTTTCCCCCACTCCTTCCCATTTTCCTTTTTAAATCTTTATTTCAAACTGTCAACATATATAGTATCAAAAGAAAACATTAGGATCACACACACGAACAGGTGCAGCATTGTGGAAAAAAGAAGTGAAAAAGACAACAACTAAACAAATCTAATGCAAAATAATCAAATTAATCACTACCCTCTAGCGCTCTGGCTGGTTGACGTAAGATGTGTAACTTCTGGTGCAACAACACGTACTCCGAGGAGTTAAATGGTCCCAACTAGTGGTTTGGCATGTCATATCTTTCACGATAATACAGGTATAATTTTTAATATGATATGAAAAATTTATACTGTGATACTCACAATATTTTGACTTGCTGACATATTGACATCATACTGTTACGCACGGCAACAACAAACATGGCTGAAAGCGAAATTATTACATACTCGGCAGTGGTTCCAAAAGAAGAGCAGCTTCAGTAGTGTGGAATAAACTGTGGCGTCCTGAATGTTTTATGAACAGCCCCAGACTTCTCAGACTCTTTTAGTGAGTTACCGCTCAGAGGAAACTCATTCAGCGGCTCCTCTATGGAGCTACATTTGTATAGAGTAGCTCACATAGAGTAGGTTTTGCAATCAAAAAAAAAAAAAAAAGATTTGAGGGCAAAACTATCAATATTGCATTCAAAAATGTTTTATTGCAAGTGATGAAAGTAAAAGTAAAATGATTGATTAAGAAATGCAAATCTAAAAGTTTTGTTTGCAAATCCTTAAGTTTTCTTTGCGAGTCATTTTTTTTTCCCGTTTGCATGTCAAAAAGTTTTGCGAGTAAAAAGTTGAACCTGGTGGGCGGGGCCTAAACTGAAAGCTGTAAGACAAGTCTCTATTGGCCAGTCTCGGAATGACAGCTTGCAAAGCAACATGGGAGTTCTGTAGTTCATGGGGAATTCAGTGCGGGAGCTGTGGCGAAAATCAGTGAGCAGGTATGCTTGTACCTAACTAATAATAGCAAGAATGTTTTATTTGAACTGGTGCATGTAGATTGCTTTTGTTTAGCCAGGGCAGAACTATTCGATGGCGTAACGGTCAGTACCGTCGATGCCCTGGGGTGTAGCAGTAATGCCGACTGTTGAGCGTTTCCAGTGGGAGAGAGGGAATCGTGGGTGTAGCACGCTCTGAATGTTGGTCCTCTATAGACTGAAATGTTGACCCAATGACCCAATAAACAGAGCTTCAATGTGTGTGCGGGAGCAAAGTGTGATTTTTGCAGTGAACTTGTCTGGGGATCTGCTCCCAGCACCACCCACTTCAAGAGAAAGAGAATGTGCATGTTGATTGAGCCTTGGTAGTACATTCTGGAGCCACATCAAACCCACCAATAGAAACTCTTCTCTCATCCATCAGCATAGGCCCCGCCCATTAAGTGCAGTTGAACTTCGAAGCAAAACTTCAACTCACAAGCAAAGAGGACTGATCTGCAAGCAAAAGTTTCTAACTCGCAAGCAAAGAGGACTGATTTATAAGCAAAATGATTATGTTTTTACTTACAAACTTGATTTTTGATTGCAGTTCAAGAAATATACTCTAAAAACAGTTTTATATGATTGCAACAAAAAGATACAAAAATACCTCCATACTCCTCTGGCAGCAGCACAGCGTCTCTCCCTCTCCTCTCTCACCGTGCGCACACGGGAGTCAGTGTCTTGAAGTGATTTTGTCATAAACCTTTGGTAATGTAAACCTACAAGACGATCGCAGCTCAACAAAAAACTACATATATGTGAACATGCGATAGTTCCGGTATCATAACAGCCTGTCACAGGTTACAGGTTACTTCTTTTTTGCTAAAAGAAGGAAATCACCTGTTGATTTATATACATATATATATAGATCCCAGAGTACATTTTTTGTATTTGGGAGCTGTTTAATGTGTAATTTGTGGTAGATTTTATTTTGTTGAACTATTAATATTATATACAGAATCTGAATCTCACTCTGAGCTACTGTTGTTGTTTACAAACTAAAGAAATGAGAGAGAACTGTTAACATGTAAAACTGTATCACTTATGTTGGTGCAAATCTATGTTATCATGTTATCATCCTTACTCTCATTTTCTCACACAAAAAAAGAATATCCAAGAATCCAAGATTTCAAACCTGAATACCTACCCAATGAAACATCTGAATAGTTGAATATTCAGGTCCAGCCCTACCTGACACCTCAACTCCGGTATACTGAGAAACACAGAGAGCTTCACCTGGCAGCAGTGATAGGCTTAATCATTACTGTGTAAGCTGGTTTGGGCTTGAATGTAAAGGACGTTCATTGTGACAGTCCTGCACTCTGGCTTTAGTGCAAACATAATGTTGTGATATCCAACTTTGCAGTCACTCCACACTTTCTCCCCACA